ATTTAAAATCTTCCTCTCATCGTTCTAGTAAGCCCTTAGATCTTATCTTCAGTGATGTTTGGGGTCCATCCCCATATTCTAGTGTTGATGGTTGCCGTTTTTATGTTGTTTTTTCTTGATGATTTTAGTAAACACCTATGGTTTTATTCAATAAAACGGAAGTCTGATGTCTATGCTGTGTTTCAAATTTTTCAAGCTGAGGTAGAAAGACAATTCAATACAAAGATAAAATCTATCCAGACTGACTGGGGTGGAGAGTATCGCAAGCTTCATTCCTACTTTAAAACCTGTGGAATTAAACATCGGTTGCAATGTCCTCACACACACCAGCAAAATGGCTCTATTGAACGCCGCCATAGACACATTGTTGAAACAAGTCTTACCCTAATGGCTACAGCCAAGATTCCTTTTTCATAGTGGCATTTTGCCTCTGACACTGCTGTTTTTCTAATCAAGCGAATGCCTACCAGCATTCTCGGTCATAAAACACCCTATGAAGTTCTTCATTCCCATGCCCCAGATTATAAATTTCTTCGTGTTTTTGGAGTCCTTTGTTACCCCAATCTTCAGCCATACAATAGGCATAAGGTTGATTATCGGTCCACACCATGTACCTTTTTGGGTTATAGCCCATCTCATCATGGGTATCGGTGTCTTGATATGGCCACCAAGCGTCTTTATATTGCACGCCATGTCAAATTCTTTGAGAATATTTATCCTTTCCACCAACTCGACAAACCTGCACCCGGACGACACCAGCCGAAGGATACTTGGGTGACAGTGCCTCTGACTGTGTTCTTTCCCAACTCTGGACAAACCGTGTCTTCCACCACTTCCTCCCTGACTGCTCCCTCGTCCAACAGGTTAGAGTCCTCGTTTACTTCCTCTATGTCCACTCCTTCATCTAGTTCTACTCCACCACTGCCAACCTCACCCTTTTCCAACCCGCCTCTCTCACCCACAAGTCCCATCAATTCATCTTCACCGCAGACTTCAACAACCTCTCGGTTACTATCTCGACGCTCAGTTAGCATTCCATTCGGATTGCAGCTAGAGAAAGCATTCCTTGAGACTTTTCCTTCCTCTACTCCCAGTCCAGTATTACCTCCACCACCTAGAAAAATGACACTCAGGCCTAACCCTAAGCCAGTTGATAGGTTTTCCCTATCAAACTATCTCACCCAAGCTGTACCAATATCGGAGCCCCAGACATTCACCATTGCCAACAAACACAAAGTCTGGCGGGATGCTATGCAGGAAGAGTTTAATGCCTTGCTACACAATCGAACCTGGACTCTTGTTCCCTTTTACCAAGGCATGAATGTTGTAGGAAATAAATGGGTCTATCGTATCAAAAAGAAAGCTAGTGGAGAGGTTGAGCGCTACAAAGCGCGCCTTGTTGCAAAAGGATTTCACCAGCGTGAAGGTGTTGATTACTCAGAAATCTTTAGTCTCGTGGTCAAGCCCACTACCATTCGGGTTGTTTTGAGTAATGCAGTTTCGCAAAACTGGAGTGTTCAACAATTGGATGTCCGAAATGCGTTTCTTCATGGCCTGCTTGATGAAGAAGTGTACATGGCTCAACCTCAGGGGTTTGTTGATTCTAGCAAACCAACACATGCCTGTCGACTACATAAATCATTATATGGTCTCAAACAGGCCCCTCGGGCATGGTATAAACGGCTCAGTGATTATCTTGTTAAAAGTGGGTTTGTTGTCTCTCGCTCTGATTCATCCTTATTGATTTATCGTCGTGGTGGTGTGGTTGCTTACATCCTAATATATGTTGACGATATTCTCATTACTGGGAATAATACTCAGTTTAATACTCAGCTTATTGATCGCCTAGGCAGTGAATTCGCTCTACGCCACCTGGGCAGCATGAAATACTTTCTGGGCCTGGAGGTTACTTATGTTCCCGATGGAGTGGTGCTGACCCAGCAGCGTTATGTGCATGACTTACTGAAGAAAGTGGGCATGCTTGACTGCGAAGCAGTGCAAACTCCGGCATCCACTTCCAAGAAACTATGCCTGGCGGATGATAATGATTACCCTGATCCGACTCTATTTCGTCAAATTGTTGGCTCCTTACAGTATCTAAGTTTAACTCGGCCGGATATTGTGTATGCCGTAGGTCAAGTGAGCAGATTTATGCAGCAGCCACAACAAGATCATTTCGTTGCCGTCAAGCGAATACTCCGGTATCTGCATCATACAAAGACAATGGGTCTTCATCTTCGGCGATACCGGTCATCTACCTTGCAGGTTTATACTGATGCCGATTGGGGTGGCAATCCCGATGATTGTCGATCAACCAGAGGATATCTTGTGTATTTAGGCACCAACCTAATCTCTTGGGCTTCACGAAAACAGCGAACGGTTGCACGCTCCTCCACCAAGGCAGAGTACAAAGCGCTGGCTGATGGGAGTGCAGAACTATGTTGGCTAAGGTCATTACTTGTCGAGTTAGGCATCTTTCACACAACACCAGAGCTCTGGTGTGATAATATTGGCGCCACTTATCTCAGTCATAACCTTGTCCAACACATGCGAACAAAGCATGTGGAGCTTGATTATCACTTTGTGCGAGAGCAAGTGGGCGGCAACAACTCCAATTACGGTTTGTAAACAGCGAAGGGCAGTTAGCAGACATACTTACCAAAGCTCTTTCACTTAATCGGTTTCAGCATCTGAGAAACAAACTGAACCTCTGCAAACTGCCGGTTTCGTTTGCGGGGGAGTGTTAGCATAGAATGTGTTTCACATCATCACAATGACTCTAATGATAAGTGTCAAGAGTATCGAGTTAGAGTTGTAGTAAACCACTTGTATTAAACTCTTTGTAATCTGCTCATTATATAATATACGAGAGGCAACACGATTGTGCGTCTGCAGGAAAACCCTAATACAATTCTCTATACAGCTACACTCAATCAAATATAACAGCTGTAGTCAATCCCCTTAGCACTGAACCCTCGGTACTTTATATGCGCTGGACACCCCCTGCACAAGACATGATGAAATTAAATTTGGATGCTGGAGTCTTTGGAGAGACTGGCTGCGGGCTCAGAGCGGTACTTGTACGGGATTCAAAGGGAGACATCATGATGGTAGCTCATACCAGAACAGAAGCACAACTCTCACCTGAAATTGCTGAAGCATCTGCCATACTGTTTGGAATACAACAAGCTGCTTCACTGTTATTCTGGCACCTTGAAGTGGAAACCGGCTGCTTACAACTGATTCACGAGCTACATTCAATCCAAAAATCGACATCCTATACTGAACTTATTATGTCACAAGTTCTATTAGCTGCTGATGCTCTGTTCTTTGTCTCTTTTAAGCATGTCCCTCGCAGTTGTAATAAAGTAGCCCATGAGGTGGCTCAACTCGCCAAAACATGTCCCTCTGAGAGGACCTTTATTGATTGTTTCCCAGAGCACATAGTATTGCTTGCTCAAACTGATGTAACAACCAGTATATGAATGCAGAGCCCTCTTTCATTCTCAAAAAAAAAAAAAAAGATATGTTGTGTATATAAAGATTAAAGAATATTGTATTTCTGTCATGCGGGTTGTTTCTGTGGTTTATTTATTAATGGTCATAATATGCTTATCTTCTTTCACTTTTAAATTTGATCCATACATTCACATGCAGATGGTTGTGGGCTTGTGGCAGAGTACACCAATTTTTAAGGGGTGATTGCCTTGTCCTTTTATTTATGCAATTTATTTTTAGCAGCCAAGTTGAAAAAAATTGATTTGATGGTAAAAATATTTATAGTTCTGGTTATTCTAAAGACAAGATCGGGTTGTTTTGCTTTTGATACTTGTAAAAGAAACGAATTTTATGTCATGGTCTCCTGTTCTGACCCATTTGGGGATGAATCCTTTCCCTAATTTATGTGTTGTGATAGATATTTACATGGACTAAAACTTTTTTTATAGCTGTTTCTCTCCCTAAAATTAAAAGTCATCAGTGTATTAGAAAGCAGGTCCCATAAAAAAAAAATTTCAAATGGGTTTAATTTATGGGTCCGTCTTAGTATTCCCCATAAAGAGACCCAAAATAGGCATAATATATATGCCTTTCTTCTTATATATGGTTATCAGCTTACAAAACTTAGGATAATAAAATGCTTAACGGACAAGTACATAAATAGCTACTACATACAAAGCTTTAAACCAAAGTGGCTAGTTCCAGGCTAGTGGTTAATTTAGCTCACTTCGTCCCTTAACCAATTGGTCGGGTTCAATTCCTACCTTTGAGAATGGACGGGAATTCCTAGTCAGCCTTTAACCCTTAAGTGGAGAATTCTGGAGTGTTAGGCAGTGGCGGACACAAGAGGGGCAGGGGCAGATGGGCAGGTGGGTGCCCTGATAGGGTGAGCAGGGCTCCATAAGTCTGAAAGTTTTGAAATGGTTCAATTGTATTGCGGAAGATAGTTTGCCTAACAAAAGTTGTTATTAATTGATTGGTAGTATGAACTTGTATTGGCCAATGATATAAGTTTTGTATTGGCCAATGATACAAAAAAAGATGCCAAAGGGATCAGTTTGCCTATGATAACGTTAGAGATTTAGCTTGATAGGGATTGAATCTATGTTCTATAAATAGAGTATACACAATAAAATCATTGATTAATGTCAATATTATCGTAGATAGCATCTTTTTTTAATCTTTTCTGGCAGGAGGCAGTCCTATTAACGTTAATGGATATGCATTGCACCAAAAAATGTTGGAGGCAAATATGGTACGTACTTATTTTCCTTTGGTTTCCATCCGTGGATCATCATAATTGGCAACTAAATCTTAAAATTCTAAGTGTCCTTTTTTGGAAGAATTTAATTACCAATATGCTTCCTCTTCTTATCTTCTCCTCCTCCTTATATATTATATGGATTCATCTATTATTTTTTTCAACAAAAATATACATTTATCTTTCCAGTCCATATATGGGTGATCGTCACCCTAATTTGCATAGTTCACACAAATTCACCATGTCATACTCCACCTGGCAGATGGCTACCATCATGAGTCTCCTTTCCATGCTTATAATCATTCCTTTCCTTGCCTCTGCCAATAGCTCCCTAAATTTTGATCCCTTTGGCAACCGTTACAGAGTTCATGTGATCAATGGCTTCAGCAGCAACGACCAGCCGATGTTCATTCACTGTTGGTCCAGGAATGACGATCTTGGGAACCACACCCTCTATATTGGTGGAGACTTCAACTTCGGGTTCCGCCTCAGGATTATACCTCCCCCGACCCATTTCTACTGTGACTTCAAACGGGGTGCAGATCATCTTACTGAAGTTACTGTGTTTGACGAGGATGAGGTCTTGGGTTTGTGCAACGATACACATAAATGTTATTGGCGTGGCCAAGATGACGGGCTCTTTTTCAGCAATGACAATTCCTCTTACTCCAAGAGGTATCTTTGGGATTGAAGAAAAAGAAAGATGATTAGATTTGCAAAAATAATGTAATGTTCAGAACTATCTAAACTAGTTGTATTGTGTCCTTCAATTTTGAAGTCTCGTTTTATGTGTCCACCACCTAACCATGTCCATGAGCAAAATTTATACCTTTGATGGACATATCTCAAATTGATAGAAAGCATATGAAGTACTTATTTCAGTTTAAAGTATATTTGATTCACCCTCTTGAATCTTTTTATGTAGTTAAATTAGTCTTTAAACTTATGTTGTTATATTGTGGTGATTTATTTGCTATCCACATATGTTGGAAGTTGTTTTGGTGGAGGTGTGGAGCTCTATATAAGTAACACCTCCACTCTCTTTTATATATCCCAAAATATTTATTATATACTCTTCTTTTAATATAAAGAGCAGGCTGCAATAGTGGTGCTCCGGAGAGGCAGGCAATTATTGGCCGAATTTTGTTATCAATTTTCAGATGTGTTCGTTCCTTTTCTCTTTTATTATTCCGCCTATTATTTTCCCGTTGTGCGTTGGTGATATATTATTCAATATTCAATATTTATTTGACGGGTATAGATTGAGAATGTCTGTTTAATTCACCAGTTGTTTATTGTAGTGGGAAAATTGTCCGAGTTTTCCCCAACAAGTAATAGCGGAGCCAAAGGTTCGTCCTTAAGGCTATTTCTTGAAATATTGAATACTATCTTTTAATTTTGTAATGGCGGAAGAAGGTACAAAAAATGCTACTGGAGAGATGGCTTCCACGTCCAAATGGTCCAGACTTCCAATATCTAATCTGAAACTTGTTGTAGAGATATTCGATGGTACTGGTCATTTTGATTTGTGGCAGTGTGAGGTTCATGACTCATTGTTCCAACATGGCCTTGACATTGCTATTGAAGATAAGAAGCCTGATGATATCAGTGACAAGGATTGGATTGACATTAACAAGTTGGCATGCGGAACAATTCGATCATGCCTGTCCTGAGTTCAGAAGTATGCATTCAAAAATGAAGTTTCTGCACACAAACTGTGAAAGGCATTGGAAGATACTTTCTTGAAGAAGAGTGGTCAGAAAAAGCTTCTAATGAAAAAGAGATTATTTCGGTTTGAGTATCGACCATGTACGACTATAAATGAACACATCACTTTGTTTAAAAAGTTAGTTGCAGATTCGTTCAATCCCGATGAATTTGAGCACTTGGAGACTACGCTACTGCATAGGAAGGAGAATGTTTCGCTGGATGTTGTATGTTCGGCTTTGTACAATCATGAGTTAAGACAACAGGATAAAGTGAAGAACAAAGCAACTATGACAGATGAGGCTTTAGTGGCAAGAGGTCGACAACAGCGCCACTCGAAGGGGGGGAATAGGAAGGTCCAGGTCAAGAAGCAAAACTGCCAAAGATGAGTGTGCTTTCTATCATGAGAAAGGCCATTAGAAGCAAGACTGTTCGAAGTTGAAGAAGAAAGGGAAGATTCCACAAGATGCATACATTGTTGAATGTAAAGGTCATGTGGAGTCAGAAATCTCTTTGGTAATTTCACCATTAACATCACAAGTAGACGAGTGGATTTTGGATTCAGGTTGCACCTACCATATGTGTCCGGTTGGAAATGGTTCTTTGACTTCGAAGATCTCAATGATGGGGTTATTTATATGGGAAATGAAAACCCATATAAAATGGCCAGGAAAGATTCAATCAAACTGCGAAATCATGAAAAATCCACCAGAATTTTGAGGGATGTTCGATATGTTCCATAGTTAAAGAAGAATCTCATCTCTTTGGGGACTTTAGAATCAAAAGGCCTAGCTGTTACTTTGCGAGATGGAATTCTTAAAGCAACATCAGGAGCATTGGTGATGTTAAAAGGTGTAAGGAAGAATAATCTATATTGTTACCAAGGTAGTACAATAGTTGGGACAATAACAACTGTAACTCCTGGAAGTAAGAAGGATGCAGAGGTAATAAAGCCGTGGCATATGCGTTTGGGACAAGTTGGTAAAAATCTTTGCAAATTCTTGCCAAGCAGAGATTGCTGAAAGGTACAAAGACTTGCAAATTAGAGTTTTATGAGCATTGTGTTTTGGGAAAGCAACGAAGAGTGAAGTTTGGCACTGCTATCCATAATACCAAGGGAATTCTAGACTATGTGCATTCAGATGTGTGGGGACCTGCCAAGACTCAGTCACCTAGAGGGAGACACTATTTTCTTCACCTTTATTGATGATTTTTCTAGAAGAGTGTGGGTGTTTACAATGAAGAAGAAGGATGTAGTGCTTGGGTTTTTTCTTAAGTGGAAAGCTTAGATTGAAAACCAAACATGAAGAAATATTAAAATTCTATGAACAAAGAATGGTGGAGAGTATACGAGTGATCTTTTTGTGAAGGTATACCAAGAATGTGGCTTAATTCGGCACTTCATAGTTAGAAAAATACCACAACAGAATGGGGTGTCAGGGCGTGTGAATAAGATATTAGTGGAGAAAGTTCGATGTATGTTGTCTAATACTGGATTAGGCAAAAATTTTTGGGCGAAGGCTGTGACGTATGCTCAACATCTTGATAATCGGTTGCCATCATCTACTTTAGATGGCAAGACCCCTATGGAGGTATGGTCAGGTAAACCTGTTACTGATTATGATTCATTACGTGTGTTTGGTTCTACTGCATATTATCATGTGAATGAATCAAAGTTAGATCCACGAGCAGAGAAGGCTTTATTTACGGGCCCTAATGTTGGAGTGAAGGGATATCATTTATAGTGTTTAGAGTCAAAAAGACTATCATCACCAGAGATGTTACCTTTGATGAATTTGCCATGTTGACCAAAGTAAATCCAGAAGAAACTGATGATACTTCACAACAGGTGGATTTTGTTACAAAACAGGTGGATTTTGTTACAAAGCAGGTGGAGTTTGAGCATACCAAGCTGATTCCAGCAATGAGCACCAATAGCGATTATCCGTTGATATATGAAGAGTCAGATGAAGAGGAGGTTCCGAACCATGAACCTTAACAGCAGATGGATTCAATTGCCGCTCTAAGAATAAGAAGAGAAATTCGAAAACTAGAACGTCTTATTGAAACGGTGGCCTATGCATTTCCAGTCATTGATGATATTCCTTCTACTTTTTCAAAAGTCATTCGAAGCTCTGAAGGTAGCAGATAGAAGGATGCAATGGAGGAAGAGATGAAATCTCTTCAAAAGAACAAGACATGGAAGTTGACACAACTTCAAAAGGAAAAGAAGGCAATTGGATGCAAATGGATATTTGCTAAAAAATAAGGATTTTCTGACAAGAATAATGTTTGCTGCAAGGCAAGATTGGTGGCTAAATGCTACGCTCCGAAGGAGGGAATTTATTATAATGAGGTATTTTCTCCAGTTGTTAAACATTCCTCTATTAGAATTTTGTTGGCCTTCGTAGCACAGTTGAATTTAGAGCTAGCTCAACTTGATGTGAAGACAACGTTCTTACACGGTAACTTGAAGGAGAAAATCTATATGACTCAGCCAAATGGATATAAAGTTGTTGATAAAGAAAATCAGGTGTGTAAACTATATAAGTCGTTGTACAGATTGATGCAATCACCTAGACACTAGTGCAAATGATTTAACAAGTTTATGATGGGTCATAAATACACAAGAAGCAAATACGACCATTGTGTGTAGTTGGGCAAACTTCAAGACGGGTCCTACATCTACCTACTCCTATGCATGGATGATAAGCTAATAGCAGCATAGAGCAAAGTTGAAATTGACAAGTTAAAGGCTCAGTTGGGAAAAGAGTTCGAGATGAAGGATTTGGAAGAAGCTAAAAAGATTCTCGACATGGAGATAAGTATAGACAGAGGGAGAGGCAAGCTTTGGCTAACACAAAAGCAATATTTGAAGAAAGTGCTACAATATTTTGGGATGAATGAAGATTCAAAATCTGTAGGTACTCAGCTTGCTTCTCATTTAAAACATAGCAATGAGTCATCTCTACAGACTGATGAAGAATGAGAATATATGGCAAAAGTCCCATATACTAATGCAATCGGAAGCTTGATGTATGCAATGGTGTGTACAAGACTTGATATTTCACATGTTGTTAGTGTTGTAAGCGGATACATGCATGATCCTAGCAGAGGTCATTGGCAAACTGTGAAATCGATCTTTCGATATATCAAAGACACTATAGATTTTGGTTTGGTGTTTGAGAGGGATGAATCACTTGGTCAAGGCATAGTTGGGTATATTGATTCTAAATATGCAAGAAATTTGGATAAACGATGATCGACAACGGCCTATTTGTTTGGCAAAAGTCCAATTAGTTGGAAGTTTACTTTACAAGGCTTTGTCTATAACAAAATCAATGCAAATAACATGAAGATCTTCAATATCCACTTGTATTAAATGCCAAAAAAATTTGATGTCATTTTTCTAACCAAAATGTTCCTACTACAGAGTATCACTCAGTTTATTTCTAAGAACTACAGAGTCTGAAAATAATACCAAGCGATGGACTATCTACAAGAAAGGAGAAACTATGAATTCTCCAAACATCAAACCAATATGGCAATAACTACCACTACAATTCTCCATACGTGCAAATAACACACCTCATTCAATGTCAATGTTCCTGTCTGATCACTGCAAATTGTAGTTGTTGAGCCGATGGTTTCACATGCTGAAAGCCTACGAACCTACAGATATGTTGATGTTAGACAATTTTGTCACAACATTTTACTCTTGGGTTAGATGCAATCACAAAAGGAAATTCAGGAGATAAGCTACTTGCCAGGGCTTTATCTGCCATCTTCTTGCGCAATGAGTATGCTACGCTGTGGAGCAATAAAAAAACAAAACAAATTAAAATGAGTTTTTAGGACCAGACAACTACAAATAATCGTTAACTTGAATAAGATCCCAGTATGACACGTTGAGATGCATTTGGTTGCTTACGTTATTCTGACAGCCAAAGGGAGCCCCTCAGGCACAACGACAACCACAATTGTGACCTGGAACAATTCTGCAGTTAGATAAGAACTAAAAAGTAAAAATATAAATGACTTCTGGATGCTATACTTATTGCAATAGTAACAATATGAATCACCCCATCCATAGCATCACCAAATGAGGTTGTGCCTTTGGTAAACTACACACTTCCATCAGGATTTCTTGTATTTTCAAAATATCTGAAAATGATGAATGAAAGTTTAACTTGTAAGTTGGCTTATTTAAGAACAAAAGGAGGAACAAATGGGCAAATGTTTTTTTTATCTCTCTCCAAATTGAAAACCAATAACATTAAACATTATGCATTTACCAATACCATGCTAGTCTAGAAGATTAACTCCCCATGCAAGAAAAATTACAATATAATATGTATTTTCTAGAGATTCAAGGTCATGGAATCATATGGGTTTAGCAAAAGATAATTATATTAGCCATTGCACAAGCATAGTGCCATCATTGTTGAGGTCGTCGGAGTTAAGGTCGTCCTCTTCTTCCTCCTCCAAAATGATGTGGCATCCGGCAATGTCGTCAAGGTTTTGGTCGTCATCATCGCCGAGGTCGTGGTTGAAGACCGCGTCATCTTGCTCAGAGGCTATAGCTAGTACAGGCTGTAGAGAGAGAAAGAATTGAAGGGAGAGGTTAGGAATTTTTTGAAATGGTTTTTTAAAAAACAAAATCGATTTACAGAATGTTAATTGCCCCAAATTATTTTTTTCCCTAGTGATTTTTTTAAAGGTTTCATTTGGATGATAAATATTTTGTTTATTTTTCAGGAAAAATAATAGTTGTAGCTGGTCTCACTTGCGTAGATCATCTTTTGAAAGTGTTTTTAGGAAAACTATATTAAGAGGCGGCAGTTAATTTCTTCAAAATTTTCTTAGGATCAGTGCCTTCAAAAACCCCAAGCAAGAGTTTTGTTAGGGTCAACACTAAAAACTCCTCAAATTATGATTAAAACAATTTTGCTCAAAAATTCAAAGAAAATCCTATGGAGTTGCTGGGTAAATAGCGAGTGGTTTCTTAGGATCAGTGTCCGAAGAAAAAATCCTAAAAAATGGCCTAGCATTTAGTACCGAATACTCCTTTCTTCTATTATCATCCTTCAACAATTAGGATACCAAAATGCTTAACCGGCAAGTACACAAATAGCTAAAACTGCATACAAAGCTTTAAGCTTTTAACAAATAGCAAGCACAGCCCCTGCTGCCGCGAGGCTCCTTCTTTGCAATGATAAGAAATATTGCTTTTTCTTTGCAATGATAAGAAATATTGCTTTGAATTGTATTTAACTTGAAGTCAGTCCTGTTTAAGAAATTTGTCTGGAAATGTTTTAGAGAGTTGAATTGTATTGCGGATGATAGTTTAGCCTAAACTTATTATTAAGTTATTATTATTTTAAACACGTGCCTTTCGCGACGTGTATTGTACATTGACAAGTTTATTAAGTTATTATTATTTTAAACACGTGCCTTTCGCGACGTGTATTGTACATTGACAAGTTATTATAGAGATTAACCCTTCGATAATGTTAGAGATCTAGCTTGATTGAATCTACGTTGTTTAAATAGAGTATACCCAATATAATCATTGATTAATGTCAATATATATTTACGTAGATAGCATCTTTTTTTTTATATTCTTTTATGGCAGGAGGCAGTCCTATTAAACGTTAATGGATATGCATTGCACCAAGAAATGTTGGACGCAAATATGGTACGCACTCCTTCTCCTTTTGGTAAGGTATCGGAACTTTCCATCCAAGGATCATAATAATTGGCAACCATATCTCAAAATTCTAAGTGTCCTTTACTGGAAGAATTTAGTTACCAATATGTATCCTTCCACTTCTTATATATATCCTTCTCCTCCTCCTTTTATAATATATGCATTCATCTATCCTTTTTAAAATTTTTCCGAAAGAATACTTTGTGTAGTACACACAAATTCACCATGTCATCTTCTACCTGGCAGATGGCTACCATCATATGTCTCCTTTCCATGCTTGCAATCATTCCTTTTCTATCCTCTGCCTATAGCTCCAGAAACTGGGATCCCCTTTTCAACCATTACAGAGTTCATGTGATCAATGGCTTCAGCAGCAACGACCAGCCGATGTTTATTCGTTGTTGGTCTAGGCATGACGATCTCGGGAACCATACCCTCTACATCGGCGGAGACTTCAACTTCTATTTCGGCCTCAGGCTTCTACCTCCCTTTACCCATTTCTACTGTGACTTCAAATGGGGTACAAATTATCTTCCTGAAGTTACTGTGTTTGACGAGGATGAGGTCATGCCTTTGTGCTATTATACACATAAATGTTATTGGCGTGGCCAAGACGAGGGGCTCTTTTTCAGCAATGACAATTCCTCTTACTCCAAGACGCATCCTTGGCATTGAAGAAAAAGAAAGATGATTAGATTTGCTGGAATAATGTAATGTTCAGAGCTATCTAAACTAATTGTTGTAGTATTGTGGGGTTATATACATTTTATCTACATCAAATTTGTTTTGAAAATAAAATGATACCTCAACTAAAAAAATTCGTATTTTGCCACCTCAAGTTTAGTATTTCAACAATTTAATACCTCGGATTGAACCAATTCGTGGTTCAACTGGTTTTATTAATAAAAGGTGCCGATCGATGACATGTGGCCTTATCAAGGCCGTTCTAAATAATTTTCTAATTTAAAAAATAATAAAATCATAAAAACAACACTCGCTCACTCTTTTACCTCCATTTTCACCCTTTTATTTTTTTCCTTTAATTAAAAAAAATTGAAAAAAGAAATCATAATTTGTTTTCCTTTACCTCCACTTTCACCCTTTTATTCTTTTTTTTCTTTACCACCACGTGTCATCCATCTACATCTTTCATTAAAAAACTAGTTGAACCACGAATTAATTCAATCTGAGGTATTAAAATGTTGAAATATTAAACTTGAGGTGATATAATACGGGTTTTCAAGTTGAGGTACCATTTTGTTTTCAAAACAAAGTTGAGGTAGTTAAAATGTATTTAACCCTTATATTGTGTCCTTCAATTTTGAAGTCTTGTTTTATGCGCCCACCACCTAACGATATCCATGGGCAAAATATATACCTTTGATGGACATATCTCAAATTGATACAAAGTATGTGAAGTACTTATTTTGGTTTAAAAAAAATGTGAAGTACTTATTTCAGTTTAAAGTATATTTGATTCACCCACTTGAATTTTCTTATGTAGTTAAATAACTCTTTAAACTTGATATTATAATTATTCATTTTTAAATATTTACAATTTAAAATTTAGTTACATGTCATTACAAAATCCATATCAATGCTAGTGTCAATGGAAAATATATATTACTATTTAGTACTATATATTATCACTACTTCAAGATTCAAATCCAACCAACATAACAAAAGAAAATATAATAAAGTAAGTGAACTGAATTGGGGTTGTAGTCTATATTATCTTATCATTTTACCTTTTTTATTTTATATTTGAACAAAATAATTAAAAAATTAAACTTGATATATATATGGAATATTAACTAGAAGGATAAAATTGTTATTTTATATTTTTTCAGGTCCCCGTAGGGTGGGTGCTATAATCCCAATTCCCATCCCCATCCCTAAATTACTCTCAAGTTGAAAATCTTTCCCATCCCCATCTCGGGAGGTCAACAATTGCCCCCATCTCCATCCCCATGGTAGAAAATCCCGCAAATCCATGCGGCAGTAGAGATTTTTCCCATCCCTCGTCAAGCATATATACTTGTTTTAGTATATTGTAGATGAGTTTGAACGTCTATTATGCAACGGTAAGTTATGAGAATGTTTAATCCTTTTAAAGTTTGAGATCTAGCTGCAGGAGGAGGATCCAAGGGCAAGGAGAGCCAAGTCCCCTAGGATTCCCTATATATATTTACGGTAATAAAATGCATTAAACTTAGGTGTAGCTCAGTGGTTTTTGGCATTGATAATTAGGTTTTGACCATTTCTTGGATCCATGCTCCTGTCTAGCTAAGTCAGGTCTGTAAATTTTTATTGACATTCAAAATCAGTACAAGGGGTCATTAAGGAAATAACATGATACATGGATTAGCACGAAACAAAGTACTCTCAAGGTAGTAGTGCAAAATCGTTAGCAGAATAGATAGCATCTCTGTTCCTCAGCAGGCAATCCTTTTTTTTTTATGCAAATGGAGGGGCGAACCCTATATTACTTCAACGAGTTGTAGAGACAGCAACACGGGGAGTAGAGAACCTCACAACATCATGTGAAAGTAAATACAAAACAGAATCAAGAGGCTCCGGCAGGATAAACAGGAGAGAAGACCAAGATAAAGTTATTCGAGCCAGAGAATCGGTGACCTGATTGGCTTCTCGCAGCACGAACTTGAAAAAGGCTTCCCATGGTCGTTGCAATAATGAACGAACCTGATGCAGAATTGCCACAGGTAATTCTGGCACCGGGGTGCCATTCTAGAAGTGGGACACAAGCGCAAAGGAGTCAGACTCTATCTCCACACGCCGATAACCATAGAGCCAAGCTAGTTCCAAACCAGACTGAATCGCGCAGCACTCTTGCGTAAAGGACAGAACATGCGCCCAGAAAAGCACCATAACCCGTCAACCACTCGCCTGAAGCATCCCTCACAATACCCCCGACGCTAACTCCCTGTAACGAAGATCGCGCCCCATCAGAATTCACCCTCACCCACCCTTGTGAGGTGGGGACCAAGCCACACTAGCGGAGGTATGCAGCCCATGATGCGCACCACCCTTATCAAAATCTAAAGAAGCCACCTGTATCTCCTGGGTTCGTGCCAAGATTTTATGAAGCAAGACAGAGGAAGAGGATGAGATACCGTCAAACACCACCGAGTTCCTATCAATCCATATCGCATGCAGAGCAACCACAAAAAAAAAAAAAACATCCCAGGGTGCAGTGGAGCTGCGAGTCAAGAAACGATTTAAGAGATTAGTCATGCACCACCGAGAGAGATCTAAAGAGAAGAACAGACCCCAAACACTGGGTGCAATAAAATTCGGCCACACATTATGGATTACTGGCAATCCCTCAAAGTATGAAGCAGTGACTCCGGTTGACTGTGACAATAAGGACACAATGACGAAGCAAATAAATGCCTTCGATGTCTCTCTGAATTCGTAAGCAACCGCTCATGCATCACGAGCCATAAATGGGACCGAACTCTAAGAGGTGCCTTAACCTTCCAAATACGCTTCCACACCGCTTCCTTATCGGCCCAGGCATTCGAATTGATTAATGAGTACGTCGAAGCAATCGTGAAAGAACCACTGGTTGTAACTCCCACCCCCCCCCCCCCCCCCCCCCCCCCCCTCTACCCAGGCGAGTCCAGAGGCGCCTCCCAAAGAGGTGGTGAAATCGGAGCTAACTGCAGACAAACCTCCTCGGAAAGAAACGGCAAAATCATGTCCCACCTCTGTTGTCTGGTTGGATCAACAAAATCCACCACTGCACGGCCCGTTAAATCCTCAGGAACCGGAGTAGTAACCACAGAAGAGAGGCTTCCAAGCTCAGTAAACCACTTATCTTCCCAAAATCGAGTCATCCGGCCATTGCCCAATGTCCATACTACCCCTCTCGGGAAAGGTGGCCATTGATCACAAATGCCTCTCCATAATGGCAAACCACTCCCCCTGGGCAACACACTTGGGGTAGGAGAAATTGTACTTTGCACACAATATCCTAGCCCACAAAGCATTCTGATTGGTGAGAATACTCCAAGCAAGCTTCATCATGAAACAATCATTCATAACACTAGTTGAAACGCCCCGACCCGTATTTACCGTACACAGTAAACACGTGCCGGAACTGTGACGACCCAACCATACCAAGCCCAGCATACAGTGTATACAACAGAAATCCGGGCTCAACAGCCCAAAATAAAAACAACAATAATAACTCAACCGGCCCAATGGCCCAATAATATCAATAAAATGCACAACGGAAGACTTAATAACTCACAAGACACTGTATGCGACATAGAAGCAAACTATGGATCCAAGTCCTGCCCAAGGGATAACGCCGCAGCATGCCTGAAATACACCAAACCTGTACCATAAATAACTCATCCTACGGGATGAAAGCCCGCAGGTGAGGGGTGAGTCCGAAGTGCTCACAACCATGGATAGACGATCAATATGCAACCCTAAAAATTACTCAAGGTCAAAACACAGGCATCACAGCCAAACACACCAAAACAAAGACTCGACCCAAAACCGGTCAAGACCAAAAAGACTAAAACAGAAAACCAATTTTTCAATTTTATCTTTCCAGGCCCCGTCACGGATAAGCTAGAGGTCAAACCTGGTTATCAACATATTCCGGGTGCCAGACCAAATCCAAGAGAACCCAGGGATCGACATCCCAAAAATACGAACCCAGGGATAGACATCCCAAAAATAATCACGTGATAGACATCCCAAGCATAGACATGCTTATCACAAGTAACCCAGGTCACGGCCACCACAAAATAGTCTTAAACCATCTAGTCGTACCGCTACTTACCACGTGACAATTATATTATCGCCATTAAAATCAAATCACAGGGATCAACATCCCTAACCAAAATACCGGGATAGACATCCCAAACCAAACCCAAGGATCGACATCCTTATCACAATTTATTATTAATTCCATTATACCTTAAACCAAAAAGACGCAAGGATAAACATCCAAAAACCAACATGGGATAAACATCCCGACAACAATCAAGACAATGGGATAAACATCCCGAATCATACCACAGAAACGCAACACTCAACAGTGCAACAACCATCAAACACAACAACCGAGTAATATAGGCACATATAGAAGGAAATCCATCCTCACCTTGGCCGATTACTCAACTCCGGAAACAATGACCGGTCCGACGCCGGCTCCTCGGGAAACTGCCCGATATCCAAACCTATACAACAAAACAATATATACACATAAATGCACATAAACAGTATACTATGATGCCAATACTGCGAAATATACCCATCCCGATTTATAGCCTTTATTATCTTTTTTCACCATAATTATCCCTTTTTCCGAAAATATATTGTATGCGTATAAGGTTACAAAAATATATTTCCAAAACTATTATATCAAAACATTTTCATAAAATAATATACTTTTTTCCAAAATAATAATTACCTTAATTTTTCTAGAAAAAAAATAACCTATTTACAATTTCCAGAAAATATATATAGTATTTATCTTTTTTTCTAAATATATATATAATAATATTTTCCAACATAAAATATAATTACCTTTAATTTTCAAAGTACATGTATATACATTCCTCAACCATAATTTTCCAGGGAAAATAATATTTCCAGAAATTATTTCATGGTATATATTTTTACTCCAATTAATA